AATGTCACAGGTTGGAGGAGATCAACAGAGCCACAATAACTAATGTAATATGGCATCCTGGCACCAAAAGAGGGCATTAAAGGAAAACTAGTAAGATACAAATACAGTCTAAATTTAATTAATAGCACTGTATTGATATTAACTTAGCTTTGATCATTTTTCTATAGTTATGTAAGAGGTTAACATAAGGTGAAGCCGAGTGAAGAGTAAATGTGAACTCTGTTATATTTGTCACTTCTGTTACCTAAAATTATTTCAAAATAAAAAGGTTAATTTTTAAAATGTGAGTACGGTGGCTCACGCCTAGAATCCTAACACTTTGGAAGGCAGAGGCTGGCAAATCACTTGAGGTCAAGAATTCGAGACCAGCCTGGCCAATATGGCGAAACTCCGTCCCTACTAAAAGTACAAAAACATTAGCCAGGTGTGGTGGTACGTTCCTGTAATCCCAGCTATTCAGGAGGCTGAGGCAGGAGAATTGCTTGAACCCGGGAATCAAAGGTTGCAGTGAGCCAAGATAGTGCCACTGCACTCCATCCAAGGCAACAGACAGAGCAAGACTCTGTCTAAAATAAAATGAAAAAAAGAAAGAAAGAAAAGGTACTCTTGGCTGGCACAGTGGCTCATGCCTGTAATCCCAACACTTTGGGAGGCTGGGGTGGGCAGATGATTTGTGGTCAGGAGTTTGAGACCAGCCTGGCTAACATGGTGAAACCCCCATCTCTACTAAAAATCCAAAAATTAGCTGGGTGTGGTGGTTCATGCCAGTAGTCCTAGCGACTCAGGAGGCTGAGGCAGGAGAATCGCTTGGACTTGGGGGCAGAGGTTACAGTAAACCGAGATTGCTCCACTGCACTCCAGCCTGGGTGACAGAGCAAGACTCATCACAATAAAAAAAAAAGATACCCTTTAATAATATAGAAATTCTGAAAAATAACTTATAAAAAGAAGTTACTTGAGAGAGATCCAAGATGGCTGACCACTAGCAGCTCAGGCTTGTAGCTCCCAGTGAAAGTGCAGAGAACGAGAGGACGCCACACTTTTAGACGAATCTTTCTTGCACAAGGACCAGGAGATTCCCAGCGGAGGAGCCCCATGGGTCGCCAGCGAGACTCTTGCAGCCGGCTCTGCGGTTTTGCCGGTGCCCTGGCGCGGCGGTTCTTGGTGCAGAGTAAACGGGACTGGTTCCCCTTTTGGCCGACATTTGGAGCTGACTGAAGGAAGGATTCAGGAGGGAAGCCAGATGAGAGACTCCCGGACAGAAAAGCACCAAGAATCTTGATGCCACTGTTTTAGCCGGCACAGTGGGTTGCTCACATTTCGGCCCTGGGAATTAACAAGTTGGACGTCCACTAAGAGACCTAATTTGAAAGTTGGTAATTACAAAGACGACAGGTGGATAAATTTACAATGATGGGAAGAAACCAGCGTAAAAAGTCTGAGAATACTCAAAATCAGAATGCCTCTCCCTCTACAGAGTATCACAGTTCCTCAACAACAGGGGAACAAGGCCTGATGGAAAACGAATGCATTCCAATAACAGAATTAGGCTTCAGAAGGTGGATAAAAAGAAACTTCTGTGAGTTAAAAGAACATGTTCTAGCCCAATGTAAAGAAACTAAGAACTTTGAAAAAAGATTTGACGAAATCCTAACGAGAATAGACAATTTAGAGAGGAATATGAGTGAATTAATGGAACTGAAGAATACTATATGAGAACTCCGAGAAGTATGCACAGGTTTTAACACTCGAATTGATCAAGCAGAAGAAAGGATATCAGAGGTCAAAGACCAACTTAATGAAATGAAACAAGAAGACAAGATTAGAGAAGAAAAAGTAAAAAGGAATGAGCAAAGTCTCCAAGAAATATGGGACTATGCAAAAAGACCTAATTTAGGTTTGATAGGTATACCTGAATGTCATGAAGAGAATGAATCCAAGCTGGAAAGTATTCCTCAGGATATTATTCAGGAAAACTTCCCTAACCTAGTAAGGATGATACTCATCCCCAGGTAATACAGAGAACACCACAAAGATATTCCTCAAGTAGAGCAACCCCAAGACACATAATTGTTAGATTTACCAGGGTTGAAATAAAAGAGAAAATTCTAAGGGCAGCTAGAGAGAAAGGTCAGGTTACCCATAAAGGGAAGCCTATCAGACTTTCAGCAGATCTCTCAGCAGAAACCCTACAAGCTAGAAGAGAGTGGGGGTTAATATTCAATATCCTCAAAGAAAAGAATTTTCAATCCAGAATCTCATATCCAGCCAAACTAAGCTTTATAAATGAAGGAAAAATAAAAATTTTCACGAACAAGCAAGCACTCAGAGATTTCATCACCACCAGGCCTGCTTTACAAGAGCTTCTGAAAGAAGCACTATACACAGAAAGGAACAACCAGTATCAGTCATCCCGAAAACTTACCAAAAGATTAAGAGTATCTCCATAATAAAGTATTTATATCAACTAATGGGCAAAATAGCCAGCCAGCATTAAATGACAATATTAAACTCACAAATATCAATATTAATCCTGAATTTAAATGGATTAAATGCCCAATCAAAGACACAGACATGCAAACTGAATAAAAAGTCAAAACACTTCAGCACTCTGTATCCAAATCCATCTCATAAGCAAGGACAACAAAGACTCAAAACAAAAGGTTGGAGGGAGACTCACCAATCAAATGGAGAGGAAAGAAAAATACAACAAACAAACAAACAAACAAAAAAACAGGAGTCGTAACTTTAGTCTCTGACAAAATAGAACTACAGTAGTAACCAAGACTAAAAGAAACAAAGAAGGACATTACATAATGATAAAAAGAGCAATGCAACAATAGGAGTCAATGATCATAAATATATATGCACCCAATATAGGGGCACCCAGATACATAAGACAAGTTCTCAATGACTTATAAAGACACTTGGACTCCCACACTAATAGCGGGAGACTTTGACACCACATTGTTAATATTCAATGGATCAATGAGATAGAAAATTAACAGAGACATTTATGATTTGAACTCAGACCTGGAACAAGTAAACTCAGTGAATATTTATAGAATTCTACACCCCAGGTCCACAGAACATACATTTTTTTTTAGTATCACATTACACCTATTTTGAAAGTGACCACATAAATGGAAGCAAATCACTCTTCTTCAGCACTTGCACAGCATTTCACAGATTTAAATGAAATATTGGTTGGCTGTTTGTTATTTTCTTTCCTTATTCCTTCCTGTCTCCACTGTTAAGCACAATAATCAGCATAAAAGAGGTTTTTAATACCTATTTCTAGATTGCATTCCAGCCTGGGCAATAGAGCAAGACTCCTGTTCTCTCTCTCCCTTTTCTCTTTCTCTTTCTTTCTTTCAAAAAAAAAAAAAAAAAGAAGTTACAGGTATAGTTACAGGTATTACATTTCAGGAATTTTTAAAGATACATACTTTTAAAATTATGGTTCTTAAACATTTTTATTTTTTCTAGAAATGACTATTAGGCAAAAAATATTGCTGTCCATCATTCTAAAGGAAACCTCTGATGATATCAGTCTCCTGTTCAAGTATCTTCAATGTCTCCCTTTTGCCTTGTAACTGCATTTGGATCTCTCCCCAAAACTGCCCTGGCCCTGGCAGCCTCCCCTTTCGCTGCTTCTCTTCACAGCCTGTACTCCCATCCAGGAATCTGCTGCTTCCTTCATCCTGACCTCCTGGAAATGCCTTTTCCCCAGACCCTATTTGTCCAGAGCCCATGAAATTTCCCCAGTGTGAAGAAACCTTATCCTCCCCTGAACTCCCAGCGCATTTCCCCCAAAGACCCTTCCCCATTTCCCTGCTGCTGTTAGACCCAGGCTGGTGGTGCCTCTGTCCAGTGGCTTAGTTGGAGTATCTACCTCTAGATTTTCTCACTCACCCATTAGTACCTGAGACCAGATGGTGCTGTCCAAGTAGAGCACCCGGAACCCTAGACCTGGACACACATACTCTCTGATCCATTTCTCCCCTTAATGCTTCCTTATCCTCTGCAATAGTGTGGCCAGGATAGTCTCAATCTCTGGACCTCGTGGTCCAACCACCTTGGCTTCCCAAAGTGCTGGGATTACAGGCGTGAGCCACCACATCCGGCCACAGGGTCCTATATTAATCATGTCTGCATCCCCTCCCCACAGCGGTGCCTATTTTAGCATCCATAAATAATAGAGACTCAATAAGTATTTCTCAGCATGAATGCTTGAAGGAATAAGTAACATCTCAGGCATCCATATTTCTTTTGATTCACGGTTCTAATCATGTTTTCCTTGCACAAATTTCTAGATCTTCCTCATTCTGAGTAGCAAGAAATAAAAAGGAATTTTCACATCCCCAAGCCCTCCAGTCACTGACCTGACTGTTGATGTCCTGAAAACTTATCAAGAAAGAACAAATGAGCCTCCAGATTCTCCTGACACCAAACCGGAAGTGGACTTCAACTCCAAGACAGGTGAGAACGGCCGAGTGTGGGAAAACTGGTTGAATGGTCTCAAGGTAGGCAGCCCCGTAGTCTGGATTGAACAATGCTTTGGCTGCAACAAACTGTAGTGATAGGACATATGTTCGTTGTGCTTTGCTTTTGATCTTCAGCTCCAAGGTTGAGATGCTGTCCCACAGGGAAAAGAAAAAAGGAAGAAGAACTGGGCAGAAGAAAACTGACTTCACCCATCACTGAAATACTTCGTACCTGAAGCACAGCTATCTTGTGAGAAGAACATGGTGGCAGCTCTTCACAGTCACCTAACTAAGGGGCTTGGGTAGGGTCCTGACTCAGAGGTAAATACACCACCACTGAGAGGCCCCTCCACAGCACCTGAGCACTCACAGCCAAGCCTGGGCTTGGCCCCAGTGGACATGAGAACAGGTGCCTGCCAGAACCACCCAGAGGGCGGAAGGCCTGCTGTTGCCAGGTCTACCATGTGAATCACAATGACTACATGAGGTCACAGAATGTTGAAGATGAGTTGTAGCTCCTAAGTCACAAAGCCTCAGGTGGGTGGGCATCTTTTCGACAGGGCTCCCAGCAATAGAGCAGTCCTACTCTCCTGGATGAGCTGGAGAAGGAGCCCCCTCTCCCAGACAGAGTTGGGTTCAAATTCATGTGCATCCCATTCCCACCAAAGCCCACTCTTCCCAGGGCTTGCTGAGAGGGAAGAATAACTGCAGGCTCCCCTAGGGTGTGTCAATGTGAGGGAAGTACACAAAGTTTGAGACAGAGGTGAATGGACAGGTGTGCTTCTTGGGGAAGCAGTCAAGAGGTGGCAAGAAGTTAAGTTGCTCTCAAGAGGGTCCTGGCACTATGGACGATGACAAACCTCTTCAGCCTGAGACAGAAGGTGAAAGGGCATCCCACCCCTCCACTCAGGCCCATCCCCGTTGCCTCAGTACAATACCTAGGGATCACAGGATCCTGAAGCCCACTTCTTTCCTCACCTGGGACCCTCTAGAAGTGGGATGATGTGTGACATTGACTTGGGTTCAGAGCTTGGAGAACAGGAAGAGTTGGCTGCAGTGCTGTGCTAGAACTAGCCATATTGGCTCTAGCCAGCTTTAATTTTTATTGTGTGGGCTGGTTGATATCACATTTATAGTTTGAAATCAGCCACATTGGGAATATTTACACCACATGAATTGGCTAACACTATGAATCAGGATGCTTTTGGTGTTGTTTATTGTTGTTTTTTTTCCTGGAGAATCAGTTGTTAAATATTTACCAGCATTCTACTGGATGAATGAAATTCTAAATTGTTTGACAAGGAAATTAAGACTCAGAAATTCTTCACTTTTCTAAGGGCACTCAGCAGTCTGGCAGCCAAGCTGCTGTCTGTCCTCTACCAGGCCACTGCTACCTACACTGTGTATACCACAGACCGGCTGGGAGATTAATGTTGGGACCTGGGTCTATGGAGAAGGACTGAGAAAGACCTGCCTGGACTCATTAGGAACCCCAGCATCCTAGAATCTGGGTAGTCAAAACTTGGGACCCCTGCCACAAATGCTCAGACCACCCAATCACCCAGTGAGTAGGTTGGCTAAGTTCTGGCAGGTCATCCAGAGGCATGGCATGGCTTCTTGAAAATGCAGAGTCCTGCTGATGCCCGAGGATTGGGCTCTGGATTTTATGTGTGGCTTCCAGAAGCCCTTGGCTTTCAGGAGTCTATGGCTGATCACAGGTCAATGGCCTAGAGGTGGGGAAAAAAAACCACATCTAGCAAGTGCAGAGAACTGGAGTGAAGGCAGCTCTGCTCCCCTCACCAATGTCTCATCAGATCAGAACTCATGTGTTTAATTATAGTAGATCTTTTCAACCCAAGGGAGATTTTCAAGCCCCTCCTTCTTCCTGATCACAAAATCAGTGTTAGATTGGAAGGAAGAGAAGCTAAGTCAAATTCTTAGGAATCAAGTTCTCTCTCTCATTCTCCGGAACTGCTCCTGGCCCATTGGTCCATTTTATTTTCTATTTGACCTAAGTTGCCACCTGCCCTGCCCTGCCCTGCCCTGCCCCTTATACTCCCTGGCACCATTTGTGCCTGACAATAAGGAAGTCTATGTATCAGGACTCACCCTTTCACCTGAAAGAGTAACAGCAGACCCTGAAACCCACCCAAACATTTAAGAAGGGGAAAGTGTGAGCAAGGAGCCAATCTCCAAGGCAGGCCCCAGACAAGGAAGGGGGCAGGGGCAGCCGGTCTCCATGGAGCAGCAGGAAGTCAATTTCACAAGCCCCTGCAGACCCTACAGCCAGAGGCACTGCTATTGGGGAAGGGAGGTTTGTAGAGCAGACTTGCCCTGGCAGGGCTTGGCACCTTGAGGACCTGGGACTCTGAGGAAGGGAGCAGAGATGGAGAAGCAGCGGCAGGCTTTATTCCAGGCATTAAGGAGATTTTTCTTCCAGATGAGACTCCAACCGAGCCAGCACCACAGAGCAGCGATGAAGCGCTCTACAGTGAGGCCGAAGCCCCGCAGACTGTCAGAAAAGTGAAACCAGACCGGGAGAATTCAGAAACAGACCTGGAGATCGAAGGTGAGCGTGGGCATTCTGGGGCAGTGAGGGCAGCCTCTACTCAGAAGCTGAAGTCGGGTTTTTGGGAGCTGTCTTCTCAATCCTTTCCAGAGTCTCCCTGTGGACAGCCTGTGGAGGGAATGTGGCAGAAAGGCTTGTGCTCAATTTTGCCTGGAGTCCTTCTCCAGGCTGGCCAGAGACAGCAGCGGCAGCTTCCCACGCTTGTCACCTGCCTCGAGCGCAGCGCCGTTGGCTTGTTAGAAGTTGAATCAATACACAAACAGGGTTTTCTGGTCTTCTAAACATTTCCACGTGGGGCATCCTATGCGATTTTTTTCAATAGTCCTAGGAGGTAGGCATCATTGCCCATTTTCAACAGAAGAGGAACTGGGCCTTGAAGAGATGATAGGCATGGCCCAGGGACAGCGGGAGTTTGCCCAGCATGTTGGCTGACCAATCCCATGTCTGACTCACTCTGAGTCCTGCCTTATTGCACACTCTAGGCCCCTGCAGTACTTCTGTGGCACATCTTGCATCCCAGTGACTTTCCCACACTCACCTCAGAGCTCTGGTTTTCCCTACTGTTCTTGATAAATCTAAGCATGCCTGGGTATCGGGACTGGCAGAGCTGAAACAAAGACTCTGTGAATGCAAACAATACCTCCACCCTCTCCCTCCTCCCAGTTTCCCCAAGAAGGGAAGCACCAAAAGAGAACACTTGTGAAGCAAGGGGAGAATGACACTGGTTCCATTGAAGGGGCCAGCCTCAAGCTTCCCAGGCCAAGGCTAGCCCAGTTGCCCTTCCTCTCCTGTGGTCTTGCAACTGGGTGGTGGGCAGTGATTGACAGGCCACAGAGAAGGAGGAAGGCTCATTCTGCCAAATTAAACTGTGAAGTTCATCTGCATAGGGCCAGCTTATAAGCCTCCCCACCGTGGACAACATACAACATACCACTTCACCCCTCTGAGCAGACCGCCTCCCCATTGTCCCCCAGGCAGCTTGTTGCTGTTTTTCTTGCTTCTTGTCCACCACTTCAAGCCTGTCGCTAATGTTGCTTCCAACACCTGACTTCATTCACCTGGTTGGAGAAGGTGGCAAAGGACGACACTGGATGTTTGGCCCAAGGGTCCCGATTCTATCTCACTCTCCCTCCCTCTTCCCCGCAACCACAGCAAGTGCTAAAGCTGTTGCAAGCTGCCCATAAAATATAACCACAGGGAACACAGCTAGAAAGGGTCAGCATCAAACCCAGAGGAATTAGTCCCAGGGACGAAACTGGGGGTTACCTCCCCTGCTTTGGCCAGCAGGAACCTCTAATGTCTAAATATGGCACCAAAAACCCTGTTCTGAACGGAAACGCTGCGCTCAGCAGCTCTGGCTCCTGGCACCCCTGCAGTGGGTGCTGAGACACTGGGAATAGGCAGGGAGGGCATGGGAAATAGGCCAGTTGGGAGCAGTGTTGGCTGTGAGTCTATCGAAGAGGGAGAGAGGAGCCTGGTTTGCTCACTTGCCATTAGCTGTTTTTCTCCACAACAGTGGTTCTCACCTGGAAGCAATTTTGCACCAAGGAGACATTGGGCAAACTAGGGCATGGGGCGTTGCTACTGGCATCTTGTGGGCCCATGCTGGGGATCCTGCTGAACACCTTACAATGTACAGGACAGTACTCAGAACAGAATTATCCAACCCAAAATACCTGCACTGCTGAGGTTGAGAACGCTGCTGTACAAGCATCCCAAAGGGAAGTCTGATTTGTAGCTGTGCTTGCAAAATCAGCTTCCCTGTAAAGCAGTTGTTCTTTCACCAACAAAGCTCCCATTGTCAGCCCTAGACTTGTTTGGGGTGGGTTGGCCAAAGGCCCTGGGATCCGAAGGAAAAACAGATGCAGACATAGACGCCAGCTGGCCCCAGGAAGCCTTGCCATAGGCTGGACATGCCTAATGAGGACACAGCTGTGGGGTACCCAGAATCCAGGGAGGCCCAATGCCCAGTGACCCCGGGCCAGGCTGGCCTAAAGCCTAAGGAATAAGAGCCCCCAGGGATTAGAATGGAAAGGTGCAGTCCCTATTTCTGTTAGCTGGTTTTCGCACTGACCAACTGTGCATTGTTTGAGGCTAGGTTTATCATCCATAATGCAAGGATGACAGTCCTTTTTATAAGGAAAATGGCATCCTAGCCTTTGAAAGAAGATAGACCACTCACATGCAAGCAAGCTTGTTTCTCGCTGATTTGGAGGTTTTTCCATATTCACTGGACAGAGTCTCACTCAGTCCTATTGGGCTTTTAAATGTTGGTGCCTCTCTAAGTCTTTGGTGAAGCTTTGTTCATGACTCACAACTTTTGATAGTTGTAGCAAAATTAAAAGTGAAATGGAGACTCCATCAACCATCAGAAGTCATCTGCTTTTTGGTCTTTCAGATTTGTCCAAAGGTGGGCAAGAGGGCTTGGGCCTTTCTATGTCTTTGATGACCTGTCATTGGATGTGGCCAACCTGGGCAGGCGAGATGAAACATACTACTCACTTCTAGAAAAGCTTCTGGCCTAAAACCATGGGCCTCATCTCCTACCCAAAGAGAAACATTCATCTGGGGCTTTCTGGAGTTAAAGTCTCCCTCTGCCACCACGGACTGACTTCCCAGACTGGAGCTGGCTTCTTAGCACATACCCACACGGACAGATTCTCCAGCAGAGGAGAGTGTAGACATGAGTGAATGTCACCTGGGGCTAGAGGGGAGCGAAGGCAAAGGTAGAAGAGAAATCCTACTAGAGCCCATCTTTCTCTGCAGATAATGAGAAGTTTTTCACCACTGGACAAAAGGAGCTGTACCTGGAGGCCTGCAAACTGGTGGGTGTAGTGCCTGTCTCATACTTCATCCGGAACATGGAAGAGTCCTACATGAACCTCAACCACCACGGCCTGGGCCCCAGGGGTACCAAGGCAATTGCTATAGCCCTGGTGGTGAGCATGCTAGAGGGGGCTCATGAAACCTGGTGGAGGTGGAGGGTTGGCAGGACAGTGGTAGGCCCAAGATTCAGAGGGCCTCTCCTATGGAGCCTATGTAGTGACCTTTATGCCCACACTGCCCTGGGCTCTGCTTGGCTACCAGGTGATTTCCCCAACAGGCATGAATTCTTCTTTAGCTCCTGACAGGAGGCTGCTAGCAACCTAGGCCTTAGAAGTCTATGCTCCTTTCAGAAACTCTGAAGAGAAAAAGAATAAAAGTCTATATACTCTTTACTGTTCAGGAAACAAAGGCACCAGCCCCTGGGCCCATGAAAAGTGACTGGGCCCAATTGTCAATGTAAGAGCACCAACAAAATATCAGCCTGGGTCTCCATTCTAAAGCTCATCTTTGCTATAAATGGGTTTACTACTGACCCATTCCATTCAACGTCTGCCTTTTGCAACATTCTAATTCGTAAAGACCACACTGTAGAGTAGATCAAGTTTTCCCACAGAAATAGTGTTATCTCTCAGCTTGGCATGACCAAACAAGGACTTGACCTTGAGCTCATCATGACTTTTTATAAATTATAATTGCTTTGCACACAAAACTGACTCCCATCACAGAAAACCTAACAACTACATGTCAGCACAACACTGTTTGTTCACTTAGAGAAGTAAACAGAAAATTCCATTATTAAGCTTTTACTAAGAAAAAGCTTAATAAGGTAGAGAGGTAGATGTGTCTTTAGAGGTGACATTTAAAATTGGTAATAGTTAAATTATCCATGGAAAGAATGAACAGAGAAAAATAAAGAGGACTCACAAGACTACCAGGTTTATATGCGTGTTGTGCAGTAAGGACCAATACACTGAAACAGCAGAGTTTGCAGCAAAGAAAGAGTTTAATGATCACAGGGTGGCCAAGCAAACAGATGAAAGGAACCCTTCCATCCATTTCCCTAAGGAGTTCTGGTCTAGAGTTATGTTTGTTTGAGACAGGGTTTCTCTGTTGCCCAGGCTGGAATGCAGTGGCATGATCATGGTTCGCTGCAGTTTTGATCTCCTGAATTTAAGTGATCCTCCTGCCTCAGCCTCTTGGGTATCTAGGACCACAGCTGTTCACCATTGCACCCAGCTAATTTTTACTAGAGAAGGAGCCTCACTATTATGTTGCCCAGGCTAGTCTCAAACTCCTGGGCTCAGGGGATCCACCCACCTCAGCATCCCAAACTGCTGGGATTACAGGCATGAGCCACTGCACCTGGCCTGACCAACAGTCTTTAAGGGGATCTCAGAGGACAAGGGGTTGAAAAATTGGGGTCACTGATTGGTCAGGACAAGGGGGATGAAATCATCAGGACATGCTAACTGCATGCTTTGGTGAGTCAGCTCCTCTGGGGGTCCTTCAGACCAGCTGATGTCAGTAGTTTTACCAGCCTCTCAGATGGAAAAGTTAACATTTCACAATGCTTGCGATGTTATCTGTAGAGCAGTGAAAAGGAACTATGATCTTATGATTCTGGGACAACAAGAGGCAAACAACTCTGAGGAAGGGGCCAGAGAGCAGCTGATCTTATGATCAATGCTGCAAGCTGGGCTTATTTCCGTTTCTCCCCTACCTTCTTCCTGGATCCATTTTATAAAGTGTATAGGGACAGTTTCAGGGCTGAGAAAAAATTCTTTAAAAATATTATTTATAAAGGATCTGAAAGAAGAAAAGGAGTCAGTGAATTAAATAGAGAATGAGTGACTGAGAGACAGAAGAAGCTACAGAATGACAGTGTATTTCAAGGCTTTTTGGAGCTTGCCATGTATTTCATAACCAAATAAATATGGAAGCACAGAATTGCCTTCCTCATTCATCATTCTCTCAGATGTCTGCATCATTGAACATGGCCGAGTTAGTCTTCCTACAGTTTGTCTTTGGCTGTCTCTACCATTCTGTACCTTCCTTCCCATCTCCAGAAAGCAATGCAATCTCACATTTCGTGTAACTTCTTAAAGGGCATATGCTAAACGCAAATGCTGTTATATTTTTAAGAAAGAATGGGTGTGTTGGTGAAGGCGAGAAAAAATTCTCCTGCCTCAGCCTCCCAAGTAGCTGGGATTACAGGCATGCACCCCCACACCTGGCTAATTGTTTGTATTTTTAGTAGAGATGGGGTTTCACTATGTTGGCTAGGATGGTCTTGAACTCCTGGCCTCAAGAGATTCTCCCGCCTTTTCTTCCTAAAGTGCTGGGATTACAGGTGTGAGCCTCCCGGTTCAAGCGATTCTCCTGCATCAACCTCCCAAGTAGCTGGGATTACAGACACATGCCACCACACCCAGCTAATTTTTTGTATTTTTAGTAGAAGCATGATTTTACTATGTTGGTGAGGCTGGCCTTGAACCCCTGGCCTCAAGTGATCCTCCTGCCTTGGCCTCCCAAAGTGCTAGGATTACAGGCATGAGCCTGTATCCCCAGGCAACATAACTTTCATGATAGTATATTATCATAAATGTTCTATTTTATTATTAGTTATTGTTAACCTCTTATTGTGCCTAATTTATAAATCAAAATTATCGTAGGTAAGTATGTATAGGAGAAAAACATAGTATATTTTGGGTTTGGTACTATCTTTGGTATTAGGCATTTACCAATGGTCTTGATGTTTTCCCCCAAGGATAAGGGTGGATGACTGTAATCATTGTTAGAATGTAAGAGGAGGGATACGCTTGTGTGCTGTTCATTTTGAGCGCCTAGCCCCCTGCTGGCATTGAACAGTGTATTCCTAGAATACATGGTCTTATTTTTCCTCACCTTCCCTAACACACTCATTCTTTCTTAAAAATATAACAACATTTGCGTTTGGCATATGCCCTTTAAGAAGTTACATGAAATGTGAGCTTGCACTGTTTTCTGAGGATGGGAAGGAAGGAGCGGGGAAAGAACAAAGCCATCTTGAGATTTATTGAGAGTGGAAAGGCTGACTAATGAAGTGTTAGGAACGCACCATTACCTCATGAGCTTCATGGGAAAACATGGATGATAATGAAATCCTCTTAGAACTTGGACCACTTGTCTCTTAGTAACAGCAATTTCTGTTTGTGGGGAGTTTCTTCTTCCTTCATTCTCTGCATCATTCATTTGACAATTAATCATTGTGACATTCTGGGGGACTGAACTTCTATTTGTTCTTTGTACTGATTAACTTTTCACATGTTTGTGTTTCCCTGGCTTAGATTAGGAGCACTCTAATAGCAGGTTTCGTGTTTGTTTCATCCTTGCCTCTATCCCTCGACCACCTAGCACTGTGCCCTTGCACTTGGGGGCAGCAGGTGGGGTGGGAGTAGGAATGTTCTCTGTTAATCTTTGTTTCCCCAGCAATGAACACAGAAAGTGACAAATGTGTGGAATAAATGTGGATGGAATTGGGGACTGGGCCTCCTGCTTCACCCTAGAATGTGCTCGTCCCCAGTATGACTCTGGCAGTGATGACTCAATTGAAGTTTCTAGACACTGCTAAATAGCACCCAAACCGGGAGGCCCCCTGAGCCATCTCCCTCACCTTTGAGTACAACTCAAGGCAATTGCATTTTGCTCAACCCAGAGAGCTGAGACCAGAAAACATTCCAGGAAGCCCCAGGGTGAATCATCCTGCATTGCAATAGCTGGGACTATCACACTTTCCTTTATCAGGGGAGAGGGTCGGGGAGGACCAGCATTAACACTCCTTCCAGTTGCTACTTCTCTTGCCCCTTAGCGGGCCTTGAAAATGCTCAAATCCAAACCTGTGTCTGTTCTCTGTCCCTGTATATACTGGGAACAAGGTGGGGAAGGCAAGATCAAAGTTCTGATTAGAGCTTAACCCCAGTCCTTCGTGCTCCAATGCGAGTCCTTTCCTCCCATCTTGTTCCCTGTAGAAATGCAGACTAGCGGCTGGGCGCAGTGGCTCACGCCCATAATCCCAGCACTTTGGGGGGCCAAGGTGAGCGGATCACTTGAGGTCAGGAGTTCAAGACCAGCCTGGCAAACATGGCAAAATCCTGTCTCTACTAAAAAGAATACAAAAATTAGTAGGGTATGGTGGTGAGTGCCTGTTAAGCCCAGCTACTTGGGAGGCTGAGGCAGGGAGCGTTGCTTGAACCTGGGAAGCAGAGGTTGCAGTGAGCCAAGATTGCACCACTGCACTCCATCCTGGGTGACAGAGCAAGACTCCATCTCAAAAAAAAAAAAAAAAAAAAAAGAATGCAGACTATCTTGGCTCTAGATATTCACCAAAAATTTATGTCCAATTCCTTCCAAACAGCCTTGAGACCACGTCCTGTTAAAGACAGTACCAGAGCCAGGTGTGGTTACTCATGCCTGTAATTCCAGCTACCCGGGAGGCCAAGGCAGGAGAACACTTGAGCCCAGGAGTTTGAGATCAGCCTGGGCAACATAGACCCCATCTCAAAAAACAATAATAAAGAAATAAATAAAAATTTTAAAGAGTGTGCCAGATAAGACTTAAGCCTAAATTAGAAGAAAGGCCTTAAGAAAGCAAAATCAATGTTTTCAAGGACCTCCTGGCACGAATCTTTATGTTTAAATATCCTTATTCAATGTATCAAGTTTTCCATAATCTTAGAGTAGGTCACAGTTGTCTCTTCTTGGGGCTTAGTTAAAATCTGTTTAGCTCATCCTTGGGCCTGACTTGTCAGGGTTTTCATTGCTTTCAGGATCCTTTTCTAAATTCTCCCAGAGTAAGCGTATTGTCCTAGCAAAACTCCCCGGGCCGGCTCAGTCCCTGTGCTGGTCTCCTCGCCCTTGCCACGCCCTCGGAATTCCTAGTCTGCATCTCTGCACCCACTCACCTGGCTGGCCCAGGGCAAGCAGGAAACGGACTGGGTCACCAACCCCTTCTGTGTCTCTCCCCCTCCCCTTGTGCTGGCTGAAGTCCAACACGACTGTTACCAAACTGGAGCTGGAAGATAACGGCATCACGGAGGAGGGCATCTTGAGCCTGGTGGAGATGCTACAAGAGAACTACTACCTCCAGGAGATGGTACCGTGCCCCCCTGCACTGGCTCCTGCCATCACCCCCGGGGGCTCACAACCCACTGGGGACAAGCCAGAGGCCCTGCCAGGACCCAGACTGCCCCCAGGCCCCTGCCCTCCCTACATGACTTCTCAGAGGAGGGCCACATGTGAGAGGCTGTGTTTCCTACAGCTGTAGAAAATCCTAAGAAACCATTTCTGGCTGGACGCGGTAGCTCAAACCTGTAATCCCAGCACTTTGGGAGGCCAAGGAGGGCGGATCACCTGAGGTCAGGAGTTCGTGATCAGCCTGGCCAACATGGCCAAACCCTGTCACTACTAAAAGTACAAAAGTTAGCCGGGCATGGTGGTAATCCCAGCTACTCAGGAGGCTGAGGCAGAGGCTGCAGTGAGCCGAGATTGCGCCACTCCACTCCAGCCTGGGCGACAAGAGCAAGACTCAAACAAAGAAAAATTATGTCTGTCTGGACCTTGGAAGCCCTTCAATTGATAAATGTGGCCGGGCATGGTGGCTCACGCCTGTAATGGCTCACTAGAAATATACAAAATTAGCTATGCATGGTGTTGAGCACCTGTGATCCCAGCTACTTGGGAGGTGGAGGCAGGAGAAACACTTGAACCCTGTAGGGTGGAGGTTGCCATGAGCTAAGATTAAGCCACTGTACTCCAGCCTGGGTGAAAAAAAAAAAAAAAAAAGGATAAATGTACCTCTGCATAGTTGCTTTAAAGTGAACTTCCTTAAAGAAAATAAAGACATAAAATAACTTCATAAAAGATGAGTGCATGACGTGAATGTGCTAAGGCCGCAGCACTGGACGCTGAGAAACGGTGATGATGGTAAATCGAATGTTATGTGTAGTTTACCATCATAAAAAATGTCCAAAGGAAAGGGGGAAACAACCAATTAAGACAATAATGGCCACTATATAAAGTCTCTCCCACTAGCTTAAAAGGACAAGTCATACTTCCCAAATCAAGGAGTGGAATTTACAATGATTATGCACTCTAAACACATTTTTCACTGTTTCACTGCCAGGCTCTCTAAATGAAGCTGTTTTGGGTTTCCATACAAAGAAAATTTAATAATGCGCTTATTTGAAGCACCGGGGCTGAACTGGGAGAGTAGGGAGTCCTTGAAGCCAGCTTTGAAAAGCTGAGACCAGCCATCTCACGGGTCCCACAGTGAGGCACTGGGAAAGCTGGGACTAGAGCTTGGTTTCCTGTCGCCCTTCTCTTGGTCCTTGGCACCACCCTAATCCTTCTAATCCTTTCCCACCCCAACCCTACTCCCTCACCACTGGACTCAAGTAAACCACAAAAGACATCATTTGTTCATGAGGGCCCTTTGGTGAGGTTTTTTATATACTGAAGTGTTTTCTTGCCTTTTAGAATATTTCCAACAATCAACTTGGTTTGAAGGGGGCCAGAATCATCTCAGATTTCCTTGAAACAAATACTTCTTCCATCTGGAGCCTTGAGCTTTCAGGTGAGCATGTGGAAAGGGAGGGAGAGGATACTGGGACTCAGAGGGAGGGAAGAGGGAAAAAACAGAGAATTCAACTTCTAGCTAACCAGACCATGTCTTTCTGGTCTTGGAGACCAAAGACTTCATCTATGCCGGCTAAACCCTCCCAGTCACACTCCTCTAACCCCTTCCACCATATCTGATGATTCGAATCATGTATACACAATAATTTATCATATACTTTACCACGAAAACTGAATAGGGGCACTATTAATTAACTGGAACCACAAGCAAATTGAGATACCTTGCACCCAATTATAAACTATGTTTAATATGATTAAGAACATAAAATAAATAAAATCATAAAAGAACAAATCACTTTTTTTTAAGAAAAAAAAAGACATCTCCTCCTTCCCTCACCAAGAGTTTCTTACAACGAAAAGTGTTTAGTCACTGATATTAGAGGCTCAACAAATAAATTCAATAGCACATTAGTTACAGGTGAATAGAATTAGTGGAAAACGTATTTTATCTATCTTTGCAGCACAGAAAGACAAAGACATACAGAATATAAAAGATAAAAGAATGTAAAAGAATGAGTAGTTTCCAGAAGGAGAAGAAATGAATGAGCAGCAATATTTGAACAAATAACAGCTAACGTGTTCCCTGAATTGATAAATTTGCAGATACAGGAATCCTAGTAACTCCTAAGAAAGGTATATGAAAAGGAATCTATACTTGAGTATATCTCTGAAAAACACTTAAGATACAGAGATCTGTAAAGTGTCTAGAAAAAAATACAGAAATAAAATTTGTGTATTTTCTTTATAGAATGAGGTCTCACTATGTTGCTCAGGCTAGTCTCACACTCTTGGGCTCCAGCAATCCTCCCGCCTCAGCCTCCCAAAATGCTGGGATTATAGGCATAAGCCATGGTGCCTGGCCTTAGTTCATGTATTTTTAACATAAATATTGTTACATGTTAGGTATTATTCTCCAATTTCCCTTGTTTCCCACTAAATATACCTTGGATTTCTTTCTATGGCAGAACAAATAGATTTAATCTAGTTCCCTTGAACTGCTGGCTAGTATTCTGAGTCATGGACATAGTATAGTTTATTTAACACCCCACTATTTGGGGGAAAGGGGATTAATTTTATTTCTAATTTTGCTTTCAAGTAATGTTTTTTGTTTGTTTTTGTTTTGTTTTGTTTGAGATGGAGTCTTGCTCTGTAGCCCAGGCTGGAGTGCAGTGGTACAATCTCCGCTCACCACAACCTCTGCCTCCCAGGTTCAAGTGATTCTCCTGCCTCAGCCTCCCGAGTAGCTGGGATTACAGGCATGCACCACCATGCCCAACTAATTTTTTTGTATTTTTAGTAGAGATGGGGTTCCTCCATGTTGGTCAGGCTGGTCTCAAACTCCCAGCCTCAGGTGATCCACCTGCCTCAGCCTCCCAAAGTGCTGGGATTACAGGTGGGAGCCACTGTGCCCGGCCTTGCTTTGTTTATGGTACTTTCCTGTGGCAAAGTTTGTGTCTTTTATTGATGTCAAGTTTTATAGTCTTTTCACTTTATGGATTTAATTTTTGCAGCCTTGCTTTAAAACTCTTTCCTAAAGTTTATAAAAATATTTTCCTGAACCAGGAGTGGTGGCATGCACCGTTAGTCCCATCTACTCAGGAAGCTGGGGTGGGAGAATTGCTTGAGCCCAGGACTGGCCCCCCAGGGCAACATAGTGAGACCCCATCTATAAAAAAGAAAAAGAAAAAAAAGTTAGGTAAAAATATTTTCTTTTGTTTTCTTCAAATTTTTTTAACTCTTAGGTCTCTAATATATCTAACACTTTTTTGTACATGGCATGAAGTAGACACCGAATGTTTTATTTCCAAAACTGATAGCCAGGTGCCTCAGCATCATCAATGGAATAATTCATCCTGTTCTGACTAATTCGAATTGTCATCTTTATCATGTATTAAACTCCCATTATAAATATAGGTTTCCTTCCAGATTCTCTCTTTCATTAATCTATTTATATATTTCTATGTCAACATTGTGTTGTTTTAATATTTGTTTAGAATATTAAAATTATAATTACTACATAAGATGTGACTAATACAAAAAATAATTATGTACAATTTAATATATAAGTTATAAAATCTTATAATAAACATTTTTGTTTGTTTGTTTGTTTTTGAGATGGAATCTCCCTCTGTTGCCCAGGCTGGAATGCAGTGCCATTATCTCAGCTCATTACAATCTCTGCCTCCTGGGTTCAAGCAATTCTCCTGCCTCAGCTTCCCAAATAGCTGGGATTACAGGTGCCCGCTGCCATGCCCAGCTAATTTTTGTATTTTTAGTAGAGACAGGGTTTCATCATGTTGGCCAGGCTGGTCTTGAACTCCTGACCTCAAGTGATCCACCTGACCCGGCTTCCCAAAGTGCTGGGATTACAGGCATGAGCCACTGCGCCCAGCCAATAAATATGTTTTGTATATGAATGGGCAAAGACTATTCCTTTTGTTCAAAGTAATCTTGAATCTTTTTTTTTTTCAAAATGATTCTGCAATTTTGGCTATTAGTGTCGTTAGTAATAGTAATCTTGGCTATGCTTGTACAGTTTCTCCCCCAGGTGAACTTTAGAACCATTCTTTCAAGTTCTATCCAAGAAAAAGTAAAAAAGATAAAACAGCTGTTGGGGTTTTGGTTGGGGTTTTCCATTTACTATTCTACATTAATTTAGAAATAACCAACATATTCACAATATTGAGTCTCCTCATTTATGAACATGGTTTATCTCTATTCCTCCAGGTCTTTTTATGTTCTTGAGTAAGGTCTTATTTTCTTCTATTGTAAGCCTTGCATTATTCATATTAGGTTTATTTCTAGGTCTTCCATTATTTTATCTTATGTGAACAGAATGTTTTTCTATCATATTTTCTCATGGGTTATTACTGATGTGTCTGAAAGCTATTAATTTTTGTCCTTTGAGTCTATATCCACTTACCTTATTAAATTATCTTATGAGTTCTAACATTTTGTTAGTTTTATAGAATTATTTAGATAGGTGATCATATCTGCAAATAATGAAAGTTTTATCTCTTCTTTTCCAATATTTATAGCTCCTAGTGATTTTTCTGGTTGTATTGGCTAAGACCCCTAACATAATGTGTTAACATAGTACAGAAGGTTGTTTGGAAAAATACAAATCCCCCAGTCCTATCCCAGACTGCTGAAGTCAGAATCTTTAGCAGGAGAAATCTAGGAATCTGTATTTTATCAAATTTCACAAATAATTATCTTATAACCAGCTCTATAGAGACGGGTGCTCCCTATGTTGCCCAGGCTGGTTGTAAACTCCTGGGCTCAAGCGATCCTCCCACCTTGGCCTCCCAAAGTGCTGTGATTACAGGCACGAGCCAATGCATCTGGACCCTGCCACCTTTTCCATGTCTGATTGTTCTAAACGGAAGTGGACTGGGAGGGGTAGGGGGTGGGAGAGGAGGGGAGTCATGGTTTAGCAGTGAACTGCTGACACACCACCCTCACTACAGGAAATGACTTCAAGGAAGAATCTGCAGCACTGCTCTGCCAAGTCCTGTCGGTAAGAGGCAGGGAGTGCAACCAAGCCACATGGGTGATGTCCCTGGGAGATCTGGGCAACCTGGGGCTGCTATGGGCACGGTGACATGAGGCTACTTGCACATGTTAGGGACTAGGGAGTGTTTAGACCCTGCCAACCCCAGCAAAAGCCACACAAACAGTAGAGCTGTTTATATGGCACTGAGTTCTCCCATCAAACATCAACAGCCAAACGAAAAATGCCTAAGACATTGTCTTCACCTAATTTTCTGTACATTGGAGCCCCCATCATACTGTCTTCTGATAAGTAAGATATTTGCAATCAGAAGACAAAAAATCCTTCTCTTTCCCCTGTTTGTTTCTGTAGAGCAATTACCGAATTAAGAAGCTGGATCTCAGCCACAATCAATTCTCTGATGTAGGAGGGGAGCACCTGGGACAGATGCTGGGTGAGTCTCCCTGGAGGGAAGGGACAGCAAATGGGAGGGATGGGGGAGGATCACTGCTTGGCGGAGCTGAATCTCCCTTCTTAACATTATTTTTCCATGTTGTGAATGTAGAAGTGAGGTAAACCATGCCCAGAGCACATTCAGAATTAGCCGGGTGCAGTGGCTCATACCTGCAATGCCAGAACTTTGGGAACCTGAGGCAGGAGGATCACTTGAGCCCAGGAGTTCAAGACCAAGCTGAGCAACATAGGGAGACCCCTGTCTCTATAAAATATCAAACAATTAGCCAGGTGTGGTGATGGGCACCTGTAGTTCCAGCTACTCAGGAGGCTGAGGCAGGAGAATCACTTGAACCTGGGAGGCAGAGGTTGCAGTGAGCTGAGATCACGCCACTACACTCTAGCCTGGCAAAAGAGAAAGATTCCGTCTAAAAAAAAAAAAGGAAGTTGAGGCTGCAGTGAACCGTAATCTTGTCACTACACTCCACAACAGAGAGAGACTCTGTCTCAGATGAAGAAGAGGGCCAGGCACGGTGGCTTGCAACTGTAATCCCAGCCCTTGCAGGTGGATCGCAAAGTCAAGAGATCAAGACCATCCTGGCCAACATAGTGAAACCCCATCTCTACTAAAAATACAAAAAAAAACCTTAGTTTGGTGCCGTGGCGCACGCCTGTAGTCCCAGCTACTCTGGAGGCTGAGGCAGAAGAATCGCTTGAACCTGGGAAGCAGAGGTTGCAGTGAGCCAAGATGGCACCACTGCACTCCAGCCTGGCGACAGAGAGACTCCATCTCAAAAAAGAAAAAAAGAAGAAGAAGAGGAGGAGGAGGAGGAGGAGAAAGAGGAGAGAAGCAGTAGCAGCAAACACCTGGTCATGGGAAGTAAAACTTTATGATGATTAGAAGAACAGAGAGAAACAACTAACAACTTGCGGATCTCAGGAAGGCTAAGGACTGTTAAGTATGGCCCAGTAAGCACAAACGATCCAAAAGCAATTGAAAAGTACCTTTTGGGTACTATGCTTATTAACTGGATGATGAAATCATCAGTACACCAAACCCCTGCGACATGCAACTTACTTATACAACAAACCAGCACATGGACGCCTGAATCTAAAAGTTTTAAAAATTCCCGTACTTGACAACAATGCATTTGAAACATGCATATGATAAAAAGACACACAACGGTGAACAACCCTAAAAGACAATCAACAGACAGGGAGTAGATATTTGCAGCATTTGTAGGGTAAAAAATCAGTATTCAGAATGTTGATAAAAATCCATAGCTCAATTAGACAATGATACGTAGCCTCAATCTCTCACTCTCTCCACTAATTAGAGAAAGGAAAGGTTTTCCTTGTCATCTACTAAAAGCCAGTGAATGTTAAAGGCTGTGGACAGTAGAGTGAAGTAAGAATAATTCCCAGGCACTTTTCAGAACAATTTGACAGTCCTTGGTAAATTTGAAAATGTGTGTATTCTATGATGCAGAAATTCCTTCCCCTCAAGGGGAATTGTCTCAGAGAAGCTCTCACACATACACAGAGAAATGTGTGAGGAGGTTATTACAGCATTGTCCTAAAAGAGAAAAAAAAAAATCCCAAAGTGCTGGGATTACAGGCATCAGCCACCTCGCCTGTCTCGAAAGTGCTATTTTAACTATTCACAGTAACAAGGACATGGGGTCACCCTAAATGCCCGTCAATGATAGACTGGATAAAGGAAAAATGTGGTACATAGACACCATGAAATACTATCCAGTCGCAAAAAACAATGAAACCATGTTCTTTGCAGGAACATGAATGGAGCTGGAGGCCATTATCCTTAGTACACTAATGTAGGAACAGAAAACTAAATACCCCATGTTCTCGCTTATAAGTGGGAGCTGAATTATGAGAACACATGAACACAGAGAGGGAAACAGTCACTGGGGTCTAACTGGGAGTGCAGGGCAGGAGGAGGAAGAGGAATGGGAGAAATAACTAATGAATACCAGGCTTAGTACTTGGATGGTGAAATAATCTGCACAATACACCCTGTGACACAAGTTTACCTGTATAACAAACCCGCACGTGTACCCCTGAACTTAAAATTAAAAAAAAAAAAGAAAAGAAATTGCTGTTTTAGAGGAGTGGGTGAGTATGGAAATTCAAATGGAAAAGGTTGAGTTGAGAATGAGGGCCTGGCACACTGGCTCATGCCTGTAATCCCAGTGCTTTGGGAGGCTGAGGTGGGAAGCCAGGGGTTCAAGACCAGCTTGGGCAACATAGTGAGACCCTCTCTCTACAAAAAAATTCAAAATTTAGGCCAGGCACAGTGGCTAACACCTGTAATCCCAGCACTTTGGGAGGCCAAGGCAGGTGGATTACCTGAGGTCAGGAGTTCAAGACCAGCCTAGGCAACATGGTGAATCCCTGTCTCTACCAAAAATACAAACATTAGCCGAGTGTGGTGGTGTGCGCCTGTAATCCCAGCTACTAAGGAGACTGAGGCATGAGACATGCTTGAACCCAGGAGGCGGAGGTTGCAGTGAGCCAAGATCCCGCCATTGCACTCCAGCCTGGGTGACAGAGTGAGACTCCATCTCAAAATAAAAAAACAAAAAAAAATCAAAAATTAGCTGCACATGGTGGCACATGCCTATGGAATAGAATGCAAAGCTAAAAGAACACTTTTAGCAACTGCAGAAGTTCTTCTGGGAGGGCTGGAACAGAAAGAAGGAGCAGGAGTCAAGGGAGACAGACAGTCCAGAGAGGGTGGGTTTTGTTTTTTGTTTTTTGTTTTTTTGAGACAGTCTCGCTCTATTGCCCAGGCTGAAATGCAGTGGCTGTCAGGTTCAAGTGCTTCTCCTGTCTCAGCCTCCTGAGTAGCTGGGGTTGCAGGCACTCACCACCACGTCCAGCTAATTTTTGAATTTTTAGTAGAGATGGGGTTTCTCCATGTTGGCCAGGATGGTCTCCATCTCTTGACCTCATGATTCACCCACCTCGGCCTCCCAAAGTGCTGGGATTACAGGTGTGAGCCACCGCTCCTGGCCCCAGGGAGGGTTTTTAAGGATGGAAAATGCTGAGAGGAAAGACAGAAGAAACTGATGCTACAGAAAAAGGAGGTAATTACAGGAGCAAAGTCCATGAGGAGGCTGCAGGCTGTGGAGACCAGAACAAAGTGCAGAGCTCACCTTAGAGAGCAGGAGGGACAGCTCTTTCTTTGAAAAACAGATGAGGAAAGGGTGGATACAGGTGCAGGTAAGTGGGTAGATTTCATGATGGTGTTTGAAGCCTCTCATTGCTACTATTTTCTCGGTGAAGTAGGAGGTAAGATCTTCAGCTGAAAGTGCAGTTCAGACCACTAGGGCTGATGGGAGGGCAGAAGGTATAAAATACCATGTGTAGGGGAGGAGCAACATGTAAAGGAAGCGCCTTTCCATGTGGGGCACTTGGAGTCTCTGCTTGAAAACCAAGGTCATAAATTTAACATGAGACAGACTGTGCTCTCTTTTTTGTTTTGTTTTTGCAACAGAGTCTCACTCTGTTGCCCAGCCTGGAGTGCAGTGGCAAGATCTTGGCTCACTGCAACCTCCACCTCCCAGGTTCAAGAAATTCTTGTGCCTCAGCCTCCTGAGTAGCTGGGATTACAGGAGCCCACCACCATGCCTGGCTATGTTTTGTATTTTTGGTAGAGATGGTGTTCACCATGTTGGCCATGCTGGTCTCGAACTTCTGACGTCAAGTGATCCACCCTCCTTGGCCTCCCAAAGTGCTGGGAATATAGACGTGAGTCACCACGCCTGGCCTGTGCTCTTTTAAAATGTTTATAAACATACTGCAAGTGCAGCTTTTAAAAACATTTATTATTGCCGGGCATAGTAGCTCACGCCTGTAATCCCGACACTTTGGGAGGCCAAGGTGAGTGAATCACCTGAGGTCAGGAGTTCGAGACCAGTCTGGCCATATGGTGAAACCCTATCTCTACTAAAAATACAAAAAATTAGCTTGGCATGGTGGCTTGGGCCAATAATCCCAAGATTACTCAGGAGGCTGAGGCAGGAGAATCACTTGAACCAGGGAGGCAGAGGTTGCAGTGAGCAAAGATCACGCCATTGCACTCCAGCCTGGGCGACAAGAATGATATTCTGTCTCAAAACAAAACAAAACAAAACAAAAAAAGCTTATTATTTGAAGTGATGGCTATGCAATAGGCATCATGTTGGGCATTTTACATCAAACCTCATGAGATCAGAATTACAATCTAAATTGTGTGGCCATTTGAGTGATGCAGGTGTGCAAGGTGTAGCTTAAATGAGAGAACTGGCAGAGAAGAGGAAATCAGGGTTAAGAAAAGAGTGAAAGAGAGAAGGGAGCGGGTAACAAAGGCATGAGAAAGTTTGCTCCCAAAATTACATGAGGTGTTATGCACTTTGCTAAAAACACACACCCAGGGTTGACAAAAATAGAAGCAGGATCAGAACATAGTGCACTATCCATAAAAAATAAAAAATAGGTCGGGCGTGGTGGTTCATACCTGTAATCCCAGCACTTTGGGAGTCTGAGGCAGGTGGATTATCTGAGGTCAGGAGTTCAAGAACAGCCTGGCCAATGTGGTGAAACCCCGCCTCTGCTAAAAAAAAATACAAAAATTAGCTGGGCTTGGTGGTGGGCACCTGTAACCCCAGCTACTTGAGAGGCTGAGGCAGGAGAATCACTTAAACCCGGGAGGCGGAGGTTGTGATGAGCCGAGATCGTGCCATGCACTCCAGCCTGGGCAATAAGAGCAAAACTCTATCTCAAAAATATAATAAAATAAAATAAGAAATAAGACATTATTCCTGGGCCAGAGGCCTAAAGACAATTCCTCCCATTGAGTCATGGTTCAAGAGGACTTTAGCCTTACCATTGATGGCATCCTTGGCATAACTGCCCTCCCCAAATAAAAGCAACAATGAATAATGTGTTTAAATAGAATGTCCCAACCCTGTGGAACATGTAAGCAAAATCATCTTTAGG